TAAGGTATTTGATTTGAAAAAAATACTTTAGACTTACTGCAATAGAATAGCTTTGTGCGTTGTTGAACGAACTAACGTGCACTTCAGCCTTTTCAGGTACGACATTCTGGAGGTATATTTTGCTAGGGTCTACAACTGCTTCGTTGGTATCAACTTACTGTGACTAGCCCTGCGACTATAAATGAGAGAAGTGAAGTAATGAACATGTTTGCCCTGAAAAATATGTAAATATACCGAAAAAGGGAAAATGAAAGGCGGAAGAACGTTTTGCAAGCCTCCAGGACTTCAGCAAATCGAATGCGATCAAATTTAGAGTGAATACGCTTGAATGATTAAATGGCTGTCACGAATTGGGATCACGCGGAGGTAGATACTGCAAAAATGCACTTCCACCTTCAGCGGTGAAGGTTGGCCATGAAACCAGGTTTTGCAAACGACCCTCACCCAGGCTAAGGAAATCGATGAGGTGTACCATCTTTACTACGTTGGAGGTGACGATCGAGAAAAGGGGGTAGTTATCGTTACCAGCTGTATGTGTCATGAGTTGGGCATCGGTCATACCTCGCACACCGCTTGAGAGAGCTCTCATAATTCTTCATGAATGCACTCTCAGTTATTAAGATTTTCCACTGACTGACTTGAATAGAGTCAAGTGACACACGCTGCAACAAAGGATTCACTGTACCTCAAATCAAATTTCAGAGAGTGCTACGAATAGTACCACCCTGTATGGAGCAGAGTATTTGCTTGGGACTAAGAAACGCCAGCAGATTCTGAGCACACAACGGATACACGGCCGAATAAGAAGAATGTGTTACGAACATCGATGTGCGAAACATCCTCAAAGTTGCTTCAATCGCGAAGTACGCCGAGCAGGATTATGATGATATGCTATATGAAGTGATGACATGATGGAAACTCGGCACTTTGTTTTACCACGGTGAAGATAGCTCGCGGACTACCCAAGCTTTGTTTGGACACAGTTCGAAATGTTCTCCGCATGGTTCAACAACATACCATTAGGACAGCCTATGGGGTCATTAGAAAACCTAATACAACATCGCCGACCTTGTCCGCGGGACGAAGGCGGGAATGAAGAAAAAAGATGCAAAATTTGAAATATAATAAGGAAAAGTTGTATTCCTATCTCTTTTTCCTGTAAAACTGGACGTTTCTTGAGGTAATTCTCTCAAATAATACAGTTGATGAAAATTGGAATAATGGAGTG